CGGTTTTGGATTGGACTCCATCCAGTCCAAAATCAATTTGGATGGATTGAACGGATTAATAAGACATATTGGATTGGACCAATTTGGTCCAAAATATTTATTAGATTGGACCTAGTCTTTTGCAATAAATTTATATTGGATTGGGTTGGATTAAGCCAATATCTGGTCCATTGATACAAGATAAGAAATAAGAATATATGTGTGGATGTACCAATGGACTGGATTTGGGTTAAAATCAATCTAAATCAAAGTGAATTTGAACAGATTGGATTGTCCAGACATTGAATTGGACTGGTCCAAAACATTCATTAGATTGGATTGGACCTGGCCCATTTATAATGGACTCACATTAGACTAGATCGGATTGGACCAAATCCAATCCAATTTGCACCCCTATCTGTAATGATGTCTACCATTAACGTATTTTTGCCTTGAAATCTTAGATATCGGGATGAACCTCTACTAAACTCAATCCTTGCAACAGTAGTTGGTGGCTGGTGGAAGAAACAACAGTGACAATGGTGGTGGTGGTTATCCTTATAGTGCAAAAAGGTTCTGATTCCAAGGTTAGACAAACGGGGAAATTCCACCATCTAATATCAATTTTTCTGAACTTAAACTCTTACAAAATAGTAATTATATGGTCATACTTAACCTGTCCAAAGTATCCAAGTTTGTTCCATGCGTTTGTTTGCGATACAAAGTGCAAATATATACTGTAGATATATACCTTCTCTTCGATTGATTGATGCAAAATGGTTCGCAGTTGTAAACCCATTTTGCTCTCTTCTTGTTTGTTTCAATTCGATGCAAATGGCTGATATATGGTGGTCTCTCTCCATTGATGGAATAAAGTAAGCCTTATACATCAAGATTCGAAAAAATACAATTTTGTAGCCATAGAATGAATACAATAGTGCACTCTCCTCATGATACGAAACTGTCAGAAAAAAACAAATATCCCTCCTTAATCGTTGGCAAATTTGGCTCACAAATCCGAACTGGATTACATCGAAAGTTGAAAAGTACAATTTTGTATATGAAAGGGGGTACTCTTTCCCAAGTATGGTTCAAAGTGCCGATACGATATATCCAATATGGGGTGTATCGTATTGTATCTTTTGAAAAAGATACAGTTCGAAACGCTTGTTTCCAGGGTTTCGGACCTCCAATTTTTTTAATAATAAAAAACATACTAAAAGCTTTCCAAAAAACCAAAATGTGAAAAAAAAAACTAAAAAAAATAAAGTATCGTATCAATACTTTGAAACTTGTTCCCAAGGTTTTTAAAACTGACCAAAAAACGGGACCATTTTGGGCACCGTTTTTCCCAGTTCGGGGGTTCGACCATCTGGGTTGAACGGTTCGACCGTGATATCATAAATAAATTAAAAAACAAAAATATTTATATATAATAAAAAATATTAAGTAAAATACAAAAAATGCACAGAAAAATACAGAAATATACCATAAAAAGTAAGGCTTTAAACTTCAAATAAGACAGAAATATACCAGTTTAAGCTTCAAATCAAAATTGAAAAATAAGGGATGTGATTATCAGATTCTACAATGGCTCTCAGCTTTAATGGAGTGGTCACTGGTGCAAATGGTGGTTTGGTTCCTCCACAAGAAAACGAGAAATCATAGTATTGCAAAGAATTATAATAATAAATGAGTTAATGGCTTAATTGCAAATCAAATTGTTCAAATGAGAGATTAGAGAAAAACGAAAAAAAAAACTCACTTATTTACCTGAATAGTCGTCGTTGTACTCCTTCCAGACTGGTCATCGGCAACCGCAACGAATATTGGTCACCGGAGGTTGGATGTCCACAGTGGTCACCGCTGTCCCCTTCAAGAGATGCCATTGAGCCGTTCCATTCAAGAGATCAGAGTTCAGTTCAGACCAGAGTTTGGTCGCCAGCTGCTGCTGCAACTTTGGTCACAGGTGGGTGCTTGTTCGGATTTCGGGAAGAAAGGTGCTGGTGTGTCACCACCATCTTCTTCGGTGAAGGCTTGAAGTTTTGTCAAAGACCGAAGAGTTTTGGGCTTTTGGGTTTGACAAAACAAAAACCTAGAGGAGAGTCATCGAATGTAGTTAGGAAATAGTATATGTTTGTCATTTTTTTTGTTTTAAAATAAAATAAAACATCAAAATAAAAAATGCTAAACCGCTAACCGTTGCTTGGGTTGAATGGGTTGACGATTCAACCATTTGGGTCACCAATTTTTTTGACTTTTTTCAACGGTTTTGCATTGGAAGACAGTTCGGGGTAAACCCAGAACCGTTCGAATGACCGGTTTCCAATCCAAATGGTCCGGCCGTCTAAGTCAATGACGATTTGAAAACGTTGTTCTTTCCAATTAAAAAGAGTACAAATGCAAATATGTACAATGTACAAAATAATACAAAATACAATGTTTTACACTCTACATATTTATTTTTATACTCCTTCCTAACTGAGACACAGACATATAGGCTCAATTTGAAAAGAATATAAATACAAATAATACAAAATACAAGATTTTGCATTCTACATATTTGTATTTGAACTCTTTCCATATTGAACCATAAATCTGAATTCGACATCCTACCAAGGTAGAGAACTTCTTGACTATGAGAATATTGAATCGAGAGATAGTTGAATCCTTCTATCCCAAAAGCCTTGATGACCTGTGATGACCTGACCTCTCCATTGCAACCAGTGTGGAAGCTTGAATTGAAGTTGAACGAATAAACAATACTGCACATGGTAGAGGGGGACAATAGCAGGAAGCAAGGTTCAATGTCCTCCTCTACCATGTATGGGCGTATCAGGGTTCTGACCGGTTCAGGGGGTGGAGGAGCCTTAAATTGCCCCCTGAACCGATTTAATAAAAATGAAAAAATGTAAAAAAGAGTATCGATATTGCCCGATATGCCCCTACTGGCATACCGGGCGAATTTATATTTAGAACCTTGGCAGAAAGGTTGATTTTTTTTTCCCTACAGCGCTGGAGAGTGGTCTGCCCTTGTATGTTCCATTTATTGATTTAGCTAGGCGCAAGATTAGCAACCAAACGTGCAGTGTGGTGGCACAACCTCATAACCTACTTATGTTTCATTCAATGCAAAATCGCTCTCCATCTAGCTCTGTAATCATTTTTTTTTAATATTTATTGGCAATGATCCACCAAGAAGAGAGTTTCTAAAGTTAAAGACTCAAAATTCATGTAACTATGAAAGGTAATTGGAGCATGGTGTAATTGTATTGGTGGTTTTGTTATTTTTTAAACTAAAGATCTAGGTTTAAACCTTCTTCCTTGTAGTTTTGAATACTCATAAACCGTCCTCTAATGACATGTCGTTATTTAAAATAACATAAGATTTGTTTAAATTGAGTTCCGCATTTAATTAAAACAAGTAGTGTTATCAACAAAATTAAAAAGAAATAAAGAGAAATTGATAATTAAAACTACCATTTATAAATATTAATGAAACAAATGCTGTATGAACAATCAATCAAAAACACTAGTATACATATTTCTTGTCAAAAATGTTTTTTTTTTTTAATTTTTGGTAATTTACATAAATAAAAATATTATTTATAAAGTTAACTTAATTTATTTAAGTAATTTCTAAGAAATTATGTAACCATTAGCTAACATATTAAGAATTTAAAATTAAGTTGACTTATTTTCTGGTAATATACAAAGTAAAAATGATAAAATATAGAATATCTTGTGATTTGTGTCTTGGTCTCTTGTATTTATTGATCTTCTACATTCTCATGGACCTAATACATTTTTAAATTAATTATATCTTTATATAATTATTAATTAATAATTTAACTTAAATAAATGATAACATATTAATAGACTTGTAAATGTAGTAACTTGTAAAAAAATAGTATGTATATGAGACTTTTGTTTGATGCATTATTAGTGTGAAGTCATTGTATTTGTATGTTTGTCATAATGCATTTCTTCATATAAGCTATTAAATTATATGTTTCCTATGTGTTTGTCCCTCATCCATAAGTTATTTCAGCCTATCTTTGGGATTTGTGAGAATTTTCTTAATATTTTCATGTATATCCATATCTTCCCACCATTCCCAAAGTATATTGCGATACACATCCATTTTCGTACTTATCGAGATGATATGCTATACCAATATTTTGAACCTTGCCTCAAAAGCAAATATGTATGGGCCTGTATCATACATGTTAATACATTAAAGTCTAAACCTTTATCCTTATTTAATTAAAGCCAATGAAGACTCCAACATGGGAGGTGCAGGAACCTACTGAAAACTCAGAAGTCAGAAGTGATCTACAAGGGCCTTAGCAATTTTCCTTATGATGAATTATTTCTACTCCACTAACTAATAACCCAGATGTCTATTACTTGGTCTAACGGTAAAATGTTGGACTGGAAAGTGCTCAAGCATAAGAGCAGCCGCTCTGTGCAAAAGAACAATCAAAGGTGAGGTCCTTATCCAGTCCACCCTCTTAAGGCCCCGTGACCAAAATTGGGTAATGATATTTAATGTCTAACAACTTTATATATTCAAATTTTCTTTGTTCTTTTCAATAGCCAATGTATGAACAAATTTTTAGTTCATATTACCTTCTTTGATCTACTTACATCTTTATTATTATTTTTTGTCTCTCTCTGATTTTTCCCTTTTTAAGATTGCACTCATGCATCTTGAATATTCGCTTTAAATCAAAATTTCAACCAATAATGTTAAAGATGTTACAATCTATTTACTTTCACATTTCACAATGTCATTTTCCAACAAAATCATTTGTTTTCTTTTACTTTTGCATGCGACAAATGAAACCTGGTGTCAAAACTTATAGGTGCTAGGGTCATCATTCCCATTTTCCAAAGAGTAGACATGGAGTTATTTCTGATCTGTATGGGATGTGTCTAACCGCTTTACAATAGTCATGAACATGGGAAAAAAAACGAGAACAAAGAAGAGTGAAAAAGAAAGAAATCAATCACTGGCCTTTATTTTTATTTCCCTATGAATAAATGTACTTACAAAATTGCGGAATTCCTGGATCCCAGAAATTCCTTCAAGACATAGGATAAAAAATTATATACACGAACAGATGCAGAAGGAAAAGAAATCACTCCATTGTGCACCCATAACGATACATAAGAGGGAGGCTTCATCTGACATGCTTTCACTAAATTATCATGAAAGCATACCTTCACTTTGCATGCTAAATTCAGCTTGCTTTTATTAGAAAATCACCCCGCAGAATATCAAATCTTCATCCAAGAAATACTTCCAAGTTGAACAAATAATTTCACCTCTATACTGCTATTAATTAAGGCAAAATACGTACTCCATGTGGTATGTCCTGCACCAACTCCTCAAGATGAAAATGTTTTTCCCTCCTCATGAGGGTCATCAGAGGGTGAAGAGCCACTTGTGGAATCACTTTCAAATGTTACTTCATCCCTTGGAGTTGATGGATGTGAATCTCCTCCCTCTTGAGATGCTGAACCTGGTATAGAAAAAAGTGTGGACAAACAAGAGAAGTGGCCTCAGATACTTGCAGGGATGGTCAATAAACTGTAACCATTCTAAATGAAGCACATTAATGGTGATACAGTTTTATAGGTCATACATAGAAATCAAGGTTTAAATTCAGTTGACTGGATGACAATACATATATATCCAGTCTATAGACTTCATTTCTGTACTAAATGCATTTTTAGAATCCTCAAAAGAATCTAGTTGGTCACATGGTTAGAACCATCTGGTTTAATATCTTTTGCAGAGAAGATTTACTTATTTGGATCATTACGAGGGGTAAAGGAAGAAAAAAGTGTATATTGTAGAGCAGCAGATACAAAGATAAGGACTGCAGGTTCAACTCCTGCACGTGCCTCATAAATTTGGCAAACTCCTTAAGATGGGGGATCCATCAGCCATGCATATCCGCTGTAACCCGTAAATACCTATATTTCTAGCAGGTTGGCCGTTTAATCCTTGAATGAAGGATATTGCATTACTCTTAGGATAGATTCTGTAACTTGTTACTTTCCTACTCCTTAGCACTTTGATGCAGATACAAAAGCAAGGTAAGAATCCATGGGGAACAGTTATTGATCAATATATATATATATATATATATATATATATGTATAAGAATCCATGGAGAACTAAATCAATTTTCCAATTCCTACACCAATTTCAGAATTTTTAGGTGATAGGATATTGTTTTTTTATTAATTTATTTTTCAAGTTGTAGGTGTCTTAAGAACATGGTCTTAATATTTTAGAAATGTACTGTTATTTCAAGATTATTATTTATGGTAACTGTCAAACTACTATTTATAGTAATTCCCATAAATACTATTTTTAGTAACTTTCAATTTACTATGTTTATAATTTCTGGTTTCTTTACATTAAAATAGTTTTAGTAGGATTAGGCAAGTATTATATTAGAGTTGTTTAGGAGTTAGTGTCTTTATCCTTAAGGGTTACCTATAGATTGTATTAGTTCTAAAGAAATTATAAGTTGATTTTGGTTAGCTTACTAAACCAAATTGGAGTGTCAAAAGGGACATCTGAATTCATTAGTTGAGTCTATAAATAGAATCATTGTAATTGCAATTAAATAAGAGTTGATTAGATGAAATAAAGTTTGGTTTGGTTAAGTGTTCTATATTTTTGCTGTTTGCCCTACAGCAAGAGTTCTTTTAATTTCTTACTCATTCTTTAGTGGACAGCAAGCTGTCTACTTGCTTCATCATCCCTGTTTGTTTACTCAAAAGCCCCACCTTCACCCCACAAAGCCCACCACCAGATCTTAAATTAGGAGGACCCCTACCCTGTCCTACATCACTTTGAGATGGATGCTACAACATGTCCTTGCAATGCACAGTGAAATCTCAACATTCTCAAAAAGCCAAATAGGTTGGAAAACGAATAGCATGAAAAAGAACAAAAGAAATAATGCACACCTTTCTTCCCCAACTTCTTTGAATGTCGCCTGATTAGCTTCTTGGCTTTTGTTATGGTCAGTTGCCTTGCGAAAGGTGAGAACTCAGCATCACTTTCACTCCATTCACCATGGAATTCATTATCTTCTTCACCCCTCATGGTCCGCAAGACTAATGCCTTGGCTTTACGACGCTGTGAACTAAAAAGACCCTTAATGGAGGTAACAAATCCATCACCTGCTCCATCAGTGGGTTTCTTGAGAAAGGCGATAGGGAGCTGATCAGATTTCCCTGCCTGATCTCCATCACTGTCACTAAGATTAAGGTCATCAAGAGGAATAGCTACTGCAGTAGCTTCTTTTTGGTTATGACCTTTACCTTTGAACTTCTTACCCTACAAAAGAGAAGTGAAAAAGCAATTAGGTCCACTTAAGAAAAATAATAAAATGCAAATACATTTTCTAGCACTTTTTAATTCCAAAATAAATGAAACTTCACTTTAGTTTGACATTTAAACCCACAATATCTTTTGTCATCTAAAATGAAGTAATTTATGGTTAATAAAATATGGAAATGAGTCCATTTTCTGAAAATTTGAAACTACCTCATTTCCTTCTCAATAACAGTGAGATGATAGCATAAATGAAATTGTGCTCTCAAACGCAATAGAAAACCACAATTATATGCAATTGAAGACTGACTTCACTACCAAATGACTCCATATGGAGAAAATGTTTAGACTGATGGTCAACTGGCTAGAAAAGAAATAAATTACAACCAAAAGATCAGAATCTAAACATGTCTGTTGTGGGATGGAGAGCACCTTCAGTAAACCAGAATCACAATGCACACAAATAACTTGCCTGCATTCCTGTTACAGATTTTAGGACTCCCCAGATGATATGCTTCTTAACTCGTGAGAACAGTCTCGGCCATGAGCCAATGAAATCAACACGCTGAAATGGATCCATCAGCAATCTCAGATCGCTTACTGCAAATCTAGATCCCTCATAAGTAAGCAGCAATTCAACCTACAATATCATTATGAAAGAAAAAAGTTATACTTCATTTATGTCCATCCTGAACTTGTATTGTAATTTCAGGCTGAGATGAACCAACCTGACTTATCTTGACATTCTGAAATTCTATCATCTTGCGAGGTCTATCTCTTTTCTCATCTTGAGTCTTTCCAACTTTCTTTTCTTCATTGGATGAACGACCAGGTTTAATTGGCATTGTCATTTTGTCTTTCCAACTTTCTCTTTTCTCCTCTTGATGGTCTGGTATTGAATTCAGTGGCCCATTTCTTGAGGAAGAATTAACACGTAATACAACTTCATTAGCTACAGATTCAGCCACATTCTCTTCCCATGTTCTGTCGCATGAAGATGTTCTCCTTAGCTCTGGGGTTGAGCCACCTACAGTGTTTGCTTTTGAGTTTTGCAGCTTTGACACCTGCATAGCAATTCGTTGTTAAAGAACATGGGGTAGATGGATTATTCGATCTAGACAATCTCATTTCAGAAGTTATTTACTATTCCAGATCAGTAATGTTGACAATAAGTAGTGGCAGTAGAAATTTTCAACCAATAACTAGTAGAGGACAAAGGTAGTAATTAGTAATCAAGTCGAAGAACTGAAACATAAAACAGTAGAACAACCATACAATAGCAATCTGATATTGAGGGGAATAGAAATTTACAACTTCTAAAGAAAAAAAAGATAATCAAAATTGCTCAATAAATGACTGGTCATAACTCAAAAGCTAATCGTATAAGAAATCCAAACTTAATAAATATGGTCATGACTTTTTCAAAAAAAAAAAACAAAGATTAGGTCTATATATAGTCCACCCCTCTCTAAGGCCCTAGATAGCTAGGGCCAAAACTGTAATGGCCTTTTAGAAAATTCATGACTTTACGATAAAAAACAAATCCAAAAGTTGTGAAATTGCTACTGCTTCAAGAATATGAAATATCTCGATAACTTCTTCCTCAGTTTCATTCCTTGCTTCCATGTTTGCATAAAAAAATTACATCTCAGAGGATTAAAGAAACAAAAAATTTTAAATTCAGCAAGAATCCCACATAAAAGTAGTGATTTACTAAATTGGTTTAATTTTGTATTAAAATGCTTCTTTAAACTAGGGAAATTTTCAAGCAGATGATTTATGTTTCATTGTTGAGTTAACCTAAAGCACCCAGAGATAGATTGTAATGACAGGCGTTGATTAAAGTAGCATGATTCATTTCCAGAAAAGATTGTGAATTAATCATTTAATGTAATGCACCTAGATATCCAGACGAGAAGGAGATCCCATTTGATGGAAATAAGCATCTACAATTTCTTCATTTTCTTGGGACAAAATTCCATGATTTTTCTGGTCAGTCAAAGTTATGACATAGGTTTCATGGGTGATCAGTAAAGTGGTCAATATGACCTACAAGATCCATAAGGGGAGAGCCAGTATAACCCATTAAACAGTGTATCCCAAGACACATGAAAAGTCAGCAATCACCATAATACCAAAAGATAATCTTCTTGGTCCACCATACTACTACCTTTGGATCTATAGCAATAGTTTCCCTCCCCCTCAAATATGAATTTACTAGTTTACTTTGCATGTATGAGTTGACTTACTTGGGAGAAATCAGAGTGAGATGAAAGCTGGCTACCACCAGAAGTAGCAAGGGATGCTGCAGGGCCACCCAATTTTGAAGAAGCATCAGATTCTCTTGTTGAGTGACTGCTTGATGCAGTTGCTTCATGGGAAGATGTTCCTTTCTTGACACGTTTTGCACCAGCAGTTGTAGACACTTTCCAAACTTCCTGTATATTTCACCAAGTTAATTCACTATTACAGGACAGTACAGTTTGGTACATGGTGCTACCAAAACTTCTAGACTAGAAGCTTGCCTGTCTCTTTTGTAAGTCATGTTCCTCTCCTGGGAAGAAATATGCCCAAATCATTCTGTACATTGTTTCTGCCAAATGTATCTTCAGAGGATAGATTTCTACCTACAGTATTGAGGAGGACCAGATGTTAGATTAAGCAAGAACGTTCAAGTCACCAATATTCTTCAAGAAATTCAAAATAAAGACCAATTAGAACAAAATCAGCTCTGGCAGCATTGAAAATTTTCTATACGCAAGAATACCTAATAAGATATACTCTACAGATTATGGGTCTGGTAAAACATCATAGTCAAGAAAACAACCTCCTATGAGCATCAAAATCAATACTTGTAACATATATGTAATGCAGGTATTGATACATAATACAAGAACTGTTCACCTCAGTTGCCAATTTGCAAAGCCATATGAATTGACTAGTTTACACCATAGAATCGTTACCTTGAAATTTCCCCCTTGAATGCACCGAAGTGGTCCAAACCATCTGGGGGATGAATATGCTCTCACTTTTGGTGAACTGGAGAAAATTGACAGACATGCATATTTGTGAAAGCAGGGCAGAAAATAAGCGGGGAAAGATAAAAGGGTTGGATCAGGATAGGGAGGACAAGGGGGAAAGAGGAAGAGGGTGATACAAGATGTTGTTCATGATAGGAATGGGAAGATATTTGTTCGGCCAAGGAGGTTCAAAGATTTTCAGGGTGGTGGACCAAGGAGATGCAGGTTAGTGAAAGTAATTCCAAGAATTTTAAAGTAGTCAGGGGAGGGGAATTTGCATCATTGATGTTAAAACTTGTTGTTTATGGTGAGGCAGAAGGAGCTTACTAACTTTTGTTTTTGATCAGGTTGATTTGTTCTTTGGTGTGTGTATTGGGATGGTAGCATATAGGTGTTGATAGGGAAACTAGTAGAGGCAATGGACCTTTTTTTCTCAGGTGTTTTGGAAATTATGGTGGATTGAATTTGAGTTTTTTAGGCCATTTTATTCTAGGTTTTAGGGGATGTGGGTAATTTTCAATCAGAATTCCTTTTTTGCCCTCCCCTCTCTCTTAATGAATGGCTTTTTGTCTCTCTAAATATATTTTATATATTATTTTTTATCAATAGTATAAAAATTTTTATTTCAGCTTTTATCAAATATCTTCCTAATTTATTTCAGCTTTTTATCAAATTAAAATTTTTATCACATGCAAGATGTAATACCTGTCCTACATCAATACATGCTCTAAAGATGATGTGTCAGGGTAGTAATCTAATAATCATGGAAACTACTCATTACATCATTTGAGCAATTAGTTTCATTTGTAACTCCTGTGGACCCAATTTTTAGTGCATTATGAAGATAAATATTCCGTGGAATAACCTGAAATCTGAAATGATAGGTGATAATATATCATTTCACAGTTGATGCATAATAACAGAGATCATGTAATTTTTTCTCGATATAGAAAGCTAGGAATGCAAATTTGAAGGATTTTAAGAAATTTTCATTACCTTAGCTGATGCAAATAAACAAAATAGGAAAGAAAGATTTTTCCACTATACAACAAGAAGAAAATTTGATGTAAGTTTTAGGTAAGAAAATGAACTCTTTAGTTGCTGTTCACATACTGATGTTTCTCCTAGGGAAATTAGGTATGGTTTCTTCCACTTCTACAAACCATCGCTCAAAGTTCTCTAATGTTTATGTATTTAATTGATGTTGTTCCTGTAAATCTAAGTGCTCAGTGTCTTCTTGTCTCATCAGATTTTACTGGAGTAGCCTTGCAGATCTCCGAAGTATAAAGCTCCAAATAAAATATAGAGCAGAGTTCCTCTTTAATTTCTAATAAAAGTGCACTATTCATAATTTCATTAATAATTTAAGAAACAAGCCTAATGATAAAATGAAAACAGGAAGACTTATGACCTGGAACAGTTCAATGACAGAGTTTCCATCCTTTGGAGCTCCCTGCTTTGCATCTACTCGAAGCATTACATTTCTGCAGCCAAAGTATGTCAATATCATGACAGTGTTAAGTGGAGACATGATATACTTACAGAAGTATCTAATATGTTTCCTAACTCTACAAAAATATTAATCAATACTAGAGCAAAACGGTTCGGGAAAACCATTCTTCAGTAATATATTTCTCAGGTCTATCATCAACTCATTCACATTCATAACACGCGAAAACAAAGAATCATAATTCAGGATTCTTTTATTTTAGTAAAATGAATCAGCAGTAGTTGAAACATGGAAAAGAATACCAATTCTAGATAAAAGGCTGGAATAGATAAATGGAGAACAACTCTGTGATCCAATATGTACAGAAAATAGAAAGAGAAAAGGTACATACTTTCCCCATTCAGAAGGAGGATTCCATGCTGATAACAGTGTATCAGATTTGGCATTAGGAAGACAGTTTCTCACAACAATTGACTTAGTTGTGAACTTAGCAACACCATGATCCTTGTAATCACGATCAAAATCGTATGTCTGTAGGAATTTAAAAAGTTTATTAAAATTTAACTTCCACGAAATAGTGGTAGAAGTATTCAGAAAGCAAATGCCTTGAAAATTGCACTGTCATGCCCAATATGTTCCAAAGTATTCAGAAAGAAAGGAATAGCTATCTATAAAAGCATATGCAAGAAATAATTGAACCACAAAAAAAAAAAGCTTCAATGGAACAAACTGATTTACATTAAAGTAAGCTTATTACATAAAGCCTGAGATAGACAAATATAACTATTGAATCCTCTCAAATCATTGTTTATGACACATAATGAAATAAAATATTCCCAGACATTTGGAAAACCATACTATTATTTTTTTTTTATCAGCAACAGAGAAAAAATTTCATTAATTATAAGAAAAATAGATACAACAAGACGTTGTGAAATCCAGCTTTAGAAAGCTGACCCAACCCAAATTACAATTGTGCCCAAAACAGCTGTGTTCTTTGAACCCCTTGCTTAGATAAACTATCTGCCAAACTATTGGCAGTTCTCTTCACCCATCTCACTCGGATTGACATATCCTTTGAGAGCCATTTAAATTTTTCTGAGGTCGTTTCTAATCTGCCATGTCACCCCTTCACCCTTTTGCATCCAGTTTATCACTGTTTTCGAGTCTCCCTCAATAACCAACCTGTTAATACCCAGTTCTTTTGCTTTTTCCAATCCAAATACTGCAGCCATGAATTCTGGTCTCACCACATCACCCTGTCTCACTGGACCGAAGTAGAGAGCAATGATATTTCCATCTTCATTTCTAATAATCCCTCCTATGCCCGAGGGGCCCGGATTCCCCACAGGGCCCACACAACTCCCGTAAAAGTTAAGCTTCTTCCAACCATTCATTGGGGGAGACCAATTCTCAATAAACTTCTGTCTTATTGAAGAGGAGGCGGTAATAACACCCCAAGCCCTGAAAAAAATCTTCTACCTTGAAGTCTGAAAACAACTTCATGCTTTTTACCCAGTGTGCCAGTCTCAAGGTTATTGTTTGAATCAATGTTTCCATGCTTTTTTCTCTTTCTTCAAATATTCTTGCATTTATTTCCTCCCAAACAGTCCACATTACTGCTGCTCTAGTACACCTCCACATGATTTTACCCCTCCTTTTAGTGCAACTAATGCCGGTAGGGCTAAATAAGATGTCCAATCTGTCCGGAGAAGACCACCTGCAACCAAAGAGGGAAGCAAACCAATCCCATATAAAGCTAACAAAAGGGCAAGAGATTAGAAAGATGAGAAGTAGTTTCACCATTCAACTTACACAGGACACACCAGTTAGAGAACAAACACCTGTTTGGACTTTTCCTTTGAAGTAGGGTCACAGGTATTAATACACTTGAAGTTACTGCTGTTAGCAGAACTTTTAGGTTGAAAAATAACCCAGAAATCAAAAGAGAAGAAGAGAGAAGGGAGAAGAAAAGAGAAGAAGAAGAATAGGAGAGGAATGGGGCAGAATGTTCTACTACTGCTGCCCTAAGCAGTATTATTTGTATGTGATTAACATAACATTAGGTAAAAGGACAAAAATGCCTTGCTACCTATAACAGTACAAGAAAGCAATCATAAAGTTAAAAATAAGCAACAAAATAACTGAACTTATGGGACCACAAGTAAATATATCAGGTCTGGTCCTCTGTATCACTACAAATACATCCATGAAACACTTCCCAACAGAAAGCACTGACTTTAGGGGGAATGGGAGAGCACCAAATTTCCTTGACTGGGAAAGAAGGATAAGAAGAGGAGGTGGCTAACAAAGAGTGTAAGAAGGATTTACAAGAAAACACCCCATCAGAATTAGGGCTCTAAACCCTAGAATCCGAACCCCCTTCTTCCAAGAAAACTGAATTCAGCAGATTCAATAAATCAGACACACTGGGAAGCTCAGACTCTCTAAGGTTCCTGTTGAAGCCAAAGTTCCAATTTATCCCTGAGGGAAGAGAGTGCTGCCTTAGGAAATCAGAGATAGGTCTTTCCTTGAACCTAGAAAACCATACTATTATTATACAACAGTAAGACCATTTTGTAAGTTCTGAATCAAAAATATAGAATGCAAAATTTCTGAGATTATTATTTTGTGAAAACTGACATAAAGTGGATAATTATTAGGTTGGTGGAAACAAAAGTCTGTACTCCGTTTGTTCTTATAATAAGTTAAATTGATCAAACCTACAGCCATTAAGCAAGATTGAAATAATGAAACCTCAGCAATACAATATGACTAATATTTCATAGAAAAATGAAAATTTTCTGGATAGTTTGTTTTGGTTTGTAATTGAGATGATTTTGATAGATTAGCTGGTATGTGGTTGTTGCCTTAATACCTGCATAGTGTTATGCAGGAGAGAAGAATCGAAGAAGAGAGAAAAGAGAGAGAGAAGAAGAGAGAAAAGAGAGAGAGAAGAAGAGAGAAGAGAGAACTGAGAGCAAAAGATACTGCTGGCGGCGCAGCTTTTTTAATATATATACTAGGGCGACAGCAACTAAAATAAAAAAGAGTAAAAGTACAATAGTACCCCTGTGGTACTATACATAGGAAAAATAACAGCTGTTAACACTCCCCCTCA